ATACAATAAAAGTCCTTTTCAAAATAAAATCTGTGACCTGGTAGTCCCCAGCATCAAATTCCAACAACTCGGGAGGTCTAAATAAATAATTCATGTGCCTGTCACACGTGAATCTTTTCCCTTTGCTCTTCGTTATTGTGCAAATACATGACAGAGGAGTCAAAGTGTGTAATAGCTGAACAACACATTATTACACACGTTGTTCACAGCATTTCTCCACATTCCGACTTCAAAGCACATGAAGTCGAACTTCACAACTCTGAAAGCTGTTCCCTCACGAACGCACAGCTTCGAGCAGGAGCACTGTGGCGCAGTTGAATGTCGTTGAAACCTCGAGGCCACAGTTTGCAGCCACTCTTCCAACCACTGGGCCGCTCGTATCTAAAGTAACATGAGCTGAACGTGACCACGACTGCGATGTAGGTGAAGAACCTGCTCGGCAACATTATTAAAGCTTGAAGACAAATCCAGGAGGTGAAAGGAAACAGCACCTTCAGGCTCCGCTCCCGTCTCATATGTTGTTTGTCACAAAATAATTAAAGACTTCAGTTTCCTCTATTTGAATCGTCCAGATTCTCCCAAATTCAACAAAGCAGCTACGGAGACGTTACTTATTGAAATCGATTAAAAACAGTAAAATAAAAAATAAAGAGGTTAAAAACAACAAATCAAAAAATGTATATAATTTATTAAACATGTGTTTTCATCAAGACCCATGAAACATTCTTCAGGAAACGTGTGTAAATGTGAAAAACATTATGTGTCACAGTGTTATTGAAAGTAAAGTTATACTCTGGTATTTTGTCGTATCGTCTTTCACAGCAGTCGTTAAAAATTCTCTTTCCCTTGTTATTTCTGTCTGTGTGGATTTTAAAAGTCGTGACCTGCTGCTGTGAAATGTTTTCTTTCTGGTTTGCCTGCATGTTGTCGACAAACACGACCTAACCCTGATTTCCACGACATCCAAAACACAAAAGTCATTATTCAATGAGAAGTATTTATTGAAGTCAGTGAGCAGCAGTTTGTTTAATGCATTTTTCATGATAAATGTACGTTTCAAATCCGATGGATTTCATAAGAGACTCTGTCACAACATAATCATGGAATGAAGAACGTGTTGCTCTTCGTGGTTTCACTCCTGTTTCTTCACTTTACTGAAGGTGTTAAATCGCAGTAATTCAAAATAGCGATTCTCATTTATCTGCAAAAGCTTTTATCCAAATTTCTGTCAATTTATAGATTTTTCTCTTTATTTGATTTGATTAATTCGATGTTAAATTTACGGGCTTTGTTGGTGTTATTCATTTATGTGTTCTAAGCTTTTCGTCTTTAACAGTGTTAGTGTTCCTCTCTGTGGTGACACAGCTCCACAGTGTCTCTGCTGAAATACTGACAAGACCGTGAGTGGATCTGTAACTGACATGAACCCAAAGTGTCTTTTTAAACCCCGAACTTAAACTTTGCTTCAAACTTATGTCTAACTTTTTATACAAATTCATTCTTTCAAGTTTCAAGTTTTAGGTTTTATTTGTCATATGCAAGTTAATCCGGTGTCAACAGCTCAGCAGAGCAATAAGAGCAATAATTAAATACATTCAATTAAAACAATGTAAAAGAGCTTTATATACATGAGTCCAATACAATTGAAATTATATATAAGTTAGAGGATGCAAGCATAAGAACCAAGGTGACAATTTAAACTCTATAGAAATATGTCGGCATAAGTTATTCCACATTGACCAGAGGTGAGAGAATTGATCTGGGAGTTTAGAAGCCTGACGGCCTGGTGAGAAACACACAGCGGCTCTGCAGAGACCAGTCCTCGTGCTTTAGTCCTTGACGAGGCTGCGTGCTGTCCGCAGACACTGCAGGTGGTAGATGTGACGACCGGGAGTCCCACTCATCATCTCTCTGTTTGGGCATTTGTGGCTGAGATCAGAACAGATGATGATGATGGATCTTTCACCTCTTTCAATCTCCTCGCCTCTTTTTTAATCTTTGCGTTTCGACTTTGAATTGATTTCTTTTAACTTTGTCTCTGCACAGTATCTGGAATCTACCTGTGCGTGAAATGTGTGTCACGGGAGCCAGGCCTCAGTATCTGCAGTGAAACAACGAGTTTCAAAGATTTTCTGAACCAGGGGTAGAAGAGGACGTAGATTATGGGGTTGAGACAGAAGTTCAAGTTAAACAGACACATCAGGAGTATATCAGATGAAGTGTTGATTGAGTTGTCCTGGCTCAAGATTAAAACAGCAAAATATGGACAGATACAAATCAGAAACACAAGAATGACAAAACCGAGGTTCCTGGCTGCTTTGATTTCAGATTTCTTGACTCTGACTTTCACCGCAGCAAAGGTGGTGATTTGGGAGCGTATGGCACGGGCCTGAGTCACGACCACGAGGAAAATCCTCAGATACAGAACCATGATGACACCGACTGGGCCGATGAAAGTCACAAGCAGATCAACAAATCCATAAACATGGTCTATAACGACCACACACTCTCCGGTGCAAGACACGAGCCTGCCCGAGGGTTTCAGGTTGTCCCTCAGCATCACTGTCTGCCAGAGGGCCGAACCCGCCCAACACACACACACGCAGACTCTAACTCTTCTCCGAGTGAATTTGGTCAGGTAATGCATCGGGTCACAAACAGCCAAGTAGCGGTCGATCGATACGAGCACGATGTTTCCTATGGAGGCGGAGGTGATGATGTAATCCCAACCGATGAACAGACTACACATGAGGTCACCGAGCAACCAGCAGCCGTCGAGGAGCAGGGTTTGGAAGAATATACGTAAGCCGACGAGGAAATCAGACACGGCCAGAGAGAGGAGGATGAGGTTGGTGGAGGTGTGCAGCTGCCTGAGGAGGAAAGACATCAAATACTTCGCATCATTTCTAGCATCAGTTATCAGCAGGAGCCACAGTTTGAAATTCGTTAGGAGTCAAATAAATACATTTAAAAGCCATTTAAATACATTTGAAACCCATCTGATGACCTGTAATGTGATATCGAGATGATGACCAGTAGGTTGAGCGTCACCGTGAGCAGAGATATGAACGACAGCGCGGCGACGGACACTAATCTCACGGACTGAGGGAGCACGAGCCTCCTGCAGGACGAGTTGAGGAGCAGGGGGAAACACAGCTCAGCTTCTTGGAGCGTTTGCATCACCGGAGCGAGGAGGAGACCCGACTGACGAACCTCAGTCCCATAACGGATTTATCTCTCCACAACTCACCTCCCTCCTCCTTCTCTCTGGTGACATTCTCCTCTCTGGAGCAGCCACCAAAACTCTCCTTTCTTTAATCACTTCCTCTTTTTCTTGCATCATCTTTTCCCTGAACTTCGAGGCCCCCCCCTTCCTTCCTCCACTGTCCAGTGTTTCAGTTTTACGAGTGCAGCTTTTCCTCTGTGTATGTTTATTATTAGGCTCATCATATAAACCAGAGATGGACGTGTCTCAACCTCATCCCACAAATATCTTGCACTGAAGTCAGAGTCGGTCATGTTCGTGGTGTGACCTTATTCACATTCAATTTTAAATTGAATCACAATCTACAGCTGCGTCTTTAGGAGACTGCATTTGAAGAGCGGTTGTGTCTCAGCGGCGGGACCACACAAGGCTCCTGCGTCCTCTCATCCTAGAAAAACAAAAGGTCCAACAGGTGGATCCTTCGCGGCCCAACCGTTCCCAGGATTCATGCGTTTGTGATGTCACGTAAAGTGGAAACGTTTTGCAGTCTGTGATTGGTTGTCCGGACTTGAACTTTTCATCCTTCAGTCTTCTTCCCTGCGGCTAAATGTCATTAGTGACAGCGCTGAACAACGAACCTGTCAATCTCTTTCCTGCCCCGTTACATTCCAGACCAGATCAATTCATCATCTCAGCTTCAGTTTTGTTTTTTTCAAAAGAAAAGCATGTCCAACCAGTTATAGTGTGAGTTAGAAAGCTAAATTCAATTATAGCCGCGAGCAGCGATTTGCAGGTTGTAACCATTTTGTGCTGCAAAGAGAAACCTGCAGGCTTGAGTCAGTTCAGACATTTTAATTCTCTTTAAATAAGAACAACACGTCAGCTGTCGCCTCTCAGCCTCTCGGAGTCTTTCTGTGTGGAGTTCACATGTTCTCCAAGTATCTGTCAAGCAATGCGGAAGACTTTTCTTACACTACACAGTTATTCTAACTCTTTTATTTCTTTTTTTATCTATCTATTTATATTATAAAACTTTATACTTTAGACAGTGTGTCAGTGCTGTGACGGGATCAGCTCTAACCCCCCCATTAGGGATGAGCAGTATAGATAATGGAAGGAAGGACTGGTTGGTACGGTGGTGCAGTGGTTGGCACTGTGTCCTCACAACAGGAATGTCCTGGGATCGAACATGGCGTCTAACCAAGGCCTTTCTGTGTGAATAGGTAATAATAGAAATGTATCCACAACACTGTAAAAACCGAGTACAGGCGAGTGTGGATAAGCTCAGAGTCATAAAAATGTTTCAGGACGAATCTCTTAATGAAGCCATTGACGGGTTTGACACCAGGACATTGTCAGGTTGTCATCACAGTCTGCATCAGACACCCTGAGATAATTACACAGTGCTGTGAGCCTGGAATGTTCCGTGACAGAAGCCAGTTTGGTCACGAGGACCGGGATGAGAATGTCTTGACTGTGCCGAGGAGTCAGACAGAGTCCCGAGTCGTCCACACAGACGGACGACGCAGACCGATCGGGCCGAAGCGTCTTTGTCTCCTCCGACACGAAGCTGCTGCACTTCAGTTCCTACAACGGTAAGAAAACCTGGAAACTTGCCCTCCTGTTAGATAATATGAGGACTAATGATTTTTGAGACAGGAAACTTTTATTATGGAATATCGACAAAAAAATTAAAAAGAAACATAATTTTGTATGAAGTTAAAAAAACTAAAATATTCAATAAATTTAATGATATTTGGAAAAATAAATAAATAAATAATTATTATAATGTTTTTTTGAATAATGCTCTAATGATATTTCCAGGTCTCACAGCTACACAGGTGAAAAACTAGTTTGAAGCAATTTAAAATGAAAAGAAACTCACACTGTGAGAAACGCTGTAGCTCCGACACTTAAAGGTCCAATGCTAAACGTTTGGATTTCTCTTTTTTTGTTGTTTTTGTTAAAAAAGAAAAAAACAAGTTCTCTTTTTATTTGATGGTCCCATTGATTGCGTTAACAGTGTTAGTGTTTTTCATCTCTCCGACTGAATTCATCAGATAAAGAAATTGAAAATGACTTTTAGATAAATGAATGCGTTTGTGTTGAATTCATTGTGAATGTACCAGTTGAGAATGGAACAACGGCAAATAAGCAGTTAAAGTTTAAAAGGGTTGCAATGCCCCACAAGGTAAAATATTTCAAGGATTTAAACAATGCTTTCATTCATTATTGGGAGGAAGAGGAGAAAACGCAAACCTTTTAACAAATACTTCATATTCTCGCACAATTTTCTGTTTGGAAAAAGTGTAACAGAGACTTAACCCCTAACCCTTAAAGTATGTTTTACTGTGTTTCAGATCCAGGTCAGCGACCACAAACATGCTCCACGTATTATACCTGGCTGCGCTCAGTGTGCTCGCAGGTGAGAGGCTTCACAACTCAAACACAACCACTGACTTTATTCACACTAATAAGAAAACGTTAATAAGCCTCCTACAGATGAGGGATTAACGAAAAGTGTTATGTGATGTTCTACCAGAACCTTTAAGAAAACCATCACCGCAAGATCTTTTCATTCAGAGGATTCCTAAAATCCCCTATTAACTTAGAAACCTCCTGCACCTGTAACGTGAAAACATCTGGAGGACTTGTAGAATGTCCTCAGTGACCTCTTCAGCCGTGTGTCACTTCAGGGGCTGCATCCTTCAGAGGTCTACCCGGCCCCTGAAGACCGCCTCCTTCCAGGGCAAAAGCCGAACCGAAATGAGAAGCTCTGGTCTACAGAGGATTTTCCGTGATCGGCGTCACCAGCTCGTCCCACCCTTATTGCTGTTGCCTAGCAACAGAATTAAAGCCGCACACGCAGAGAACGTTTTTAACGCCCCTTTAAATTTGTACCATTAGCTGTTCCGTTGAGCTGAAGCGTGGTAGTCGAGCCTTGAGCGTCTCCTCACTTTGCCGACGCCATTACCTCCATTAAAAGTGGTTTGTCACTATGGGCGCAATGAATCCTGGGATAGGTTGGGCTGGGATGGATCCAATCATCATTGGTCCGAGTCAGACCTTTATTTTGAAGTTATGACCTCTTGACCTGACCAGAGTCGTACATTTTAACTAATCATAAACTGTTGATTGTGACTCCTGAGATCTAAGTTAACTCTTAACTTAAAGAACAGATCCAAACAAACACCATGTGTCTCCATGTGTTCAGGTACTGCAGCAACAACAAACCAGACTTTTACCAGTTCAGGTGAGATGAACATCACGTCGTGCCCCATCACATACTATGGACAGAAATACGACAAAGTATATGTGAGTCATAAAAATTCTCTAATGTGTTTTATCAACCTACCAATTACATTAATAACTAAATAAAGAAATGTTATTACTGATCGGTTGTGTCTCCTCCTGACCAACAGGTGGGCTTCAATTCCAGCAGATTTGCCGTTTGCTTCAATGGCGAGTACAAACCTGGAATCAAAAACGACTGTATTCTGATGTCTGGAGGAACAGCTGACCGAGGTGGCCTGGCGATATATTCAAGAGAAATACCCACTGGATCTGGGGTCCATAAACTTCTTCCCAACCTTAAGCTCGCTGGGAAATGTGTCAACGTGATTCCATTAAAAGACAGTCAACAGTCGGAGGCGAGTATTTCGCAGTGACTTGTTTTGACCTGTGTTGTTTTCAGTTTTTCAGATTTTTACAACATTTCTTTCTGTGTTTTGTCTGAATTCTCTTTTCAGATTGAACAAATTGAACTTGGCAATTTTGGGTCACAAGCAATTCTGGCAATCAAGACGTATTCTGGATACACTCATGTTGATGTGGTAAGTAGAATAATCAGGATGACGGGTATGAGTTGGTGGACAGGGCGGCAGATCAACAGCCGCATCATTCTTCTGTTTGTTGTGTTTTAAACTCAACTTATCAAGTCTTTGACGATTATTATTTGATTTTTTGACCCTTTCCAGGAAGCAGACGCGCAGGTCAATGGCCTCACAGTTTCTAAACAGATATTCAAGACAAATGAAACAAGAACAGGTGTCATCACAGACATGAGCGGATGTAGACTCTCAGGTTTGTAAACTACTAAATAAATCATTATGCGTAAGTGATTTTTTTAAACCACGTAAAAATATATCTTTCCTGATTTCTAGGTGTTGTTTACAAGACAAATACAACAGTACGAGACCCAAACATCTGCTCCACTGTGTCCTGTGATGAGAGTGGAGTTGCTGCTGCCGTCAGCGATTGTGGTCCCATGGAGCGCTGCAATGGAAATGGCAGGTAACACAAAATCCTGAAGTACATGATGATCCTGAGTTCTTCATGAGTCGTTATCAAACCCTGATGGTGTTATGTTCTGTTTGAATATGCCCCAACCCTCCCCCCGCCTCCCTCAGCTGCTTCTCAAACAACGTGTGCACCGTGATTGGCTCCTCGGTCATCAGTTTTGCCGGGCAAGTCCAGTCTGTCCAGGACCGCTGTGGGTACACTCTGTTCAAGTCCTCATCCATCCCCGGCTTCCAGGTGGTCGGGGTTTTCCGGGAAAGACGCCGCAAAGATGTCAGTTTTTTGAAACGCGTGATTCTGCAGCTGGACAAGGCGAGAGTTCAAATCTCGCTGGAACAAGGAGGCCGAGTTCTGGTGAGTCACCCTGAAAGTAGACAGATGATTGTGATGCATATCTCTGTCCTTAATAACGGAAACAATGCTAACAATGCAAAAAGTTCAAATTGAATTCAACGCGTGGTCTTTGTTCGGACTCGTCGCTCCTCTGCTGTGATGAAGCTCGACAACAGAGAGCTCACGCTCAACACCACGGCGATGGTGGTCCATGGTGTGGAGCTCTCCAAGGACCGAACTGGAGTGACTGCTAAGATGTCAGCCTTCAACTACACAGTCTCTGTTCACTTCGATGGCTCCATCACTCAGATCCACTTGACAGGTACACACAATTAAAATCCCTCATTCTTAGTAATTATAAAGTAATTATATTTGGGCTCAGGCTGAAGGTGCCATGTTGGCAGCGATGTATGAACTTAGAATAGAGAGTTATATAAGTACACTTTGAAATGTATGTACTTTTCTGCATTCAGAATCAGAATTGATGGGTTTATTTTGTAATCATCACCTGCCATGTTTTCTTCTTACTATTCTTTGTTAATTACTTAATCAAAACACAAGACTGTGTTATAAGGTAAATATCAAATGTTTAAGAAGATATAATGTGAGACACTAACTCTAGTATCACTGCTTTAGGTATTGATCTGCTCGTCAGTATGTGAAGCCTTTGTTTTGCTTTCAAAGTTTAATGATCCGTCATATTTTCTCTCCTGAAACTCGTCAGGACCAAAAGCAACAGACTCACAAGGTTTATGTGGAAATTCCAGTCGGACTGTGAGTCAAGAGAAAGTCTCCAAGCACAGTGTCCCCGGGTGAGACCTCCGACACAACGAGTTGTTGCCCAGATGAAATAAGATGAAATAATCTGATTGTTTGTTTCCCCACAGCTGTGACACGAAGTATAATGAGATCGTGGACCCAACAATCAACTGCAACACCACGACTGAATGGTAAATGCAAACGGAACTATCTTGTTCTGAGTCGTGGAAGTAGACCGTTTAAATACCTTTCAGTGTTTTAGCATTCAGGAGTTTTCAGAAATCATGACACTTGAACTGGAGGTTTAATTGTCAGTCACCCCATCACAACCTTGTGAAAACAAGAGACCGTTAGCATTAGCAGTTTTTTTAGCTTGAATGCACTGGCTCCACCTACAGTTAGCTAGTTAGCTACATCCTGTGCATGTATCCTCCGTACTGTGTTGATAACGGGCTGACTAAATAAAGTTTATTGTTACGTAATGTCCCGTCTTTATCCTCTGCATCACTGGAACAGGTGCAATCTCTTGAAGCAGGCTCCCTTTACTGCTTGCAACATGCACATGGACCGAGAACCCTTCATTACCGCCTGCACACAAACGCTGTGTAATTACCCTGCAGTGGATGCTCTCAAATGTCAGTTCATGGAGGCGTACGTCAGAGGCTGCAGCTTCTCTAACATCACAGTGGAGGGATGGAAGTCACGGACCAGCTGCTGTAAGACTGTGATGCAGTATCTTTGTTTTAAGTTTTAAAATAAGATAAGACAATTTATCTCTACTCAAACATAAAGACAGAGTCCAGTGTCCAGTTGCAAATCTCAGCCTGCTTTGTTGAATCAGAATCAATTACATTCACTCAAATTTACTGGCATTTCATATCATTGTGTGTGATCAACAGCTGTATCTGTGTGTGTTTGCAGCTGCTTTCCATCAGGACGTCTGTCGGGACATGCTCTGCAGTGATCACGAGTTCTGTGGGGAGAAGAACAACGGGGAAACCGGCTGCGTCTGCCGGGCCATTTTTGCCTCCAAATACAAATCAACAAGCTCCTTTGGTGAATCAGCTTTGACACAAAAAAAAACAGTTTTTATCGTCTCACATTTATGTAATAAGTGGAATACTCCCAATGAGGCCCTGTGGCCTTGATCATGCACTAATTGGCTTTCAAGTTCAATTCTTTTGGCCCAATGAAGAAATTTGGCACCAGATAATTCTTAAATGAGCAAAAAATGGTAACAACCTTTTTAATACACATAATAACATTAAGAATTAATGTTAGACAGATATGATATAAACTCTTGAAAATGTGTCAACCCCCTAAAAGATGTTTTTAAACATCTGCATGTTCCTCCTTCTTGCTTTTTAAGTCGCTTGGACAAAAGCTAAATGAGCTTTATATTTTGTCAGGTGAGCCAACGGCCTGCGAGCAGAAAGCTGCGAAGTTGACTATGGCTAAATGTCTCTTGGAGGACAAAGGCATCGACTTCTCTGTCTTACATCTCAATGACGTGGCCTGCAAAGGTGAAATGGACAATGAGACGCACATGGTGACTTTCAGTTTTGACACGGACAAAACCTGTGGCACAGTGATCATGGTGGGTACCTCTTAGAAGAATATATACTAAATATTTATTTAGTAGAATCTAAAAATAGATTGTGATGTGATGTTAGGTGTGCCTGAATGTGCAGTAACAATTTTTGTCTCCATGTGTCCCTACAGGTGAACAACAACCAAATTATCTACAAGAACACCATCATGACACGGAACAGCTCCATGTACGGCATCATCAACCGTCACGACTCAGTTCACATCAACTTCTCCTGTCTTTACGAACAGCCGGACATCAAGAGCTTTTCCTTCAAAATCAAAGACAGGTGTGTGCTTGGTGTACACTTCCAGAGGGGACCAAGAACTCAGCTTAACTTTTTGAGAAAGGAAGACAACTGAATTTTGTCTTTGTCTTCCAGCTCCGTCAGCCAGCAGATTGCTTATGGACGATGGGTTTACAATCTCACCATGAAGGCCTACACCGACTCTTACACCAAGGAAGCCTTACAACCGAGCAGTAAATTGCAACTGGATGAGAAGATTTCGGTGGAGCTGAAGGCGGATGGGCTGGACGATGAAATGGTTGTTGTGGTGACGGAGTCCTGCTGGGCGACCGATCAGCCCAGCCCAAACGGAAGCCTGAGATATGACCTCATCATCAAAGGGTGAGACCATAGACTGCATGATGATGCGTCTCCATTTCCTCCCGCTGTGTTAAAATGAAGCCAAAATATTCCAGATCCCAGTGATTGTGGAGTGGTTGTGGTTGCGTGGACAAGGATGCTGGTCCCCCCGTCATATCTGCTCTTCTGTCTTTTTGAGCAGCTGCCCTAACCCCGTTGACTCGACGGTGAAGGTGGTGAACAACGGACAGGGAACATCCAACACTTTCTCCTTTAACGCATTCCAGTTCCAAGGCAAGGACGGTGAAGTCTATCTGCACTGCAAAGTACAGCTGTGTGTCAAGAAGGGAAACACCTGCATCCCGGTACGTCGACAGCTCCTGACTAGATTCACATAAACACACAGATGATCATATTAAGTTATATTAAGTTATAAAAGTAGATATTTTGTACTGATGTTGGGCCTCACTCCTAAAACTGAACTTCTGTCATTTGATTTCCTCAGAGGTGCGGCGTGGGTGAGAGAAGACGCAGATCCGTCTTGTCAAAGTATGAGGATGAAAACCCTGCCCTCATCAAACTGGCCTGGTCTTACTGAGTAAGTGCAATTCACCCGTGGCTGGCTTCAACTGACACACTGCACATTCACTTTAAATGGGGTGACGTCATGTGTTGCCCAACTGCATGCTGGTCCTGTTACGTTGCACATGTAGAGGCAGAAATTGAGCCGAGCTAAAGCTTTCATGCAGCAGCAGTAGAGTCACCAGCCAATCAAATCACGTTGAAACTGTTCATCTGGTTGCAGACTTTATTTTTTCCCCAGCATGAAACTGTGATTGTTGTAGATTACGGTAACACCAACCGTTGGGTATGCCCCCCCCATCAAGCAATGACCATTTTGTAGAAGACGCATCTGTATCATTTTAAGATCAGTGACTGACTAATTTGGTTGTTTTCCTAGGTTTCCATGGCGACTCAGAGTCACGCTCTGTTTCCTGTCATCTATCTTTGCTACAGATCTCTGCTGACACGTACACGTGTAAAAACCAGACATCTTGCTGATTCTTTTTAAGCTTTGAATATGTTTGGTGTTGATCTGGGTTTTTTTTTCTGTGTCGGGGTGAAAATGATTTCTGCAGGAGAGGTATGGAATATATTCTCAGGTGAATGTGTGAACAGGCTTTCCTCAGTGTTCTAAGGAACTATTAAGACATGAAGCTTTGACTATAAGGCTCTATATAATTGCAACTGGTCACAGCGCCACCATGTGGGTGAGGGTGAGGGTGAGGGTGAAGGGTGAGGGTGAGGGTCGAGCTTTGGGATGATTGTTTAAATCAAAAAGGAATTTGAACCTGGTTTGAACAAAAGGTCTTCAGAGCAATGACGGTTTGAATCGTACACATCATTTACCTTTTTTATGAAAGTGTATAATCAATAAAAAGTATCAGTGGACGAWGACGAGTTGTGTTTTCCACGAATGAGGTTTTTCATCCCTGTCCATCGGTTTGTTTTTTGCTTCGTGTTTCTTTGTGAGGAAGCTGATGCAAAAACTACTCAACAGATCAAGAGAGAACTCATAACATTTTGCTGTTTTATGTGTCAAATTCAAGTTGAAGTTTTACCAAACACACACACACACACACACTCATTGTGTTATTAACCCCCTGCAGGGCTCAGTGTGACCCATTAGCTGCTGCTTGTAACCGTGCACCTCTGTGCATGAGGACATTTTCACACCTACTTTCATTAGCGTCACACAATGAGGCGACTGCAATGGTGGTGTCACTGCAGCGGAAAACAAACTCGACATCAACACATGATGCAACTATTGCTCCGTTCACCAACAGTTCAAAGTAAACAGTAAACTTTTGTGTTTTTTAAAGCTGAAAGTTGAAAAACTTCTACAAACCAACATGAACGTGCCATGATCCGTCAATCACAAACTAACAAACCTGCCTGTTATCACCACTGATATCAGCTTTACAAATAACAACAGTTYAAGAGACGTCTCTTTCCCAGACGTAACAGTGAATCTGGTATTGTTTAGCCTTTTTAGCTGTTTACACATATGTGCATGTCATCATGCAACGCGTGGTCTTGGGCCGACTGTAACAGAAAACAATCACAGAAGCAGTTTTGCGTCGTTAACGTGAATGTACACATATTACTTTTCATTGCAAGAACCACAAGTGACCACCGGATCAAACTGTCAGTCTGGATTGATGACAGCATGTATCTGACTCTCTTTACTGAGCAACAGCGCCCTCTGCAGCCACACAAGGTCTATCAATGTGTTGTCTTTTTATCTGATCTACAGTTCAGTGTTGACAAAGAAATAAGTAGGATGTCACTCAGCAGAGTTCACGGCCCAACAGTTCCCTCATGACATCACATTCAAATTCACTAGATGTTTAGTTGGATCTGCACCAAATTGCACAGACTCTTAAATTTCAGTCTCCTGAACATGTCGGTGTTAGAAAAGAGAATCCTAATTCCTGGAATTCATTCTGTCCGGATTAATGTCACATCCTCCGACAAAGCTTTGTGGTAATATCTGTCCAGCAGTCGAAAACGTAATAATCATAAAATCAGACAATTGAGATAAAACAACTTTTGTTTCCTTTCTTGTAACAAATGATAAGAAAACAACAATAACAACAACAACAGACCAGAACAACATTGTTWAAATGCAGAATAATACACAGTCATGTTTTATGTCATGAGGTCGACATGTGGGGAAATAGCAAAAGAAATGAGTATAAAAGAAATCTCTGATAATATTGATCATATCATGTGGGAATGAGGAGATCTTTGTATAATTAGACTGATTTGATCCTTTTCTTTGAATTCAAAATGAATTTAAAACTGATAATTAATAAATAAATCAATGCTAGATAAGTGTGTGTGGATGTTATTTCTCGGTGAACTATCCCTTTAAGCGGACTGTTGGTAGAAGAATGCACTTTACTGAGGCTGACGTATTGATTATCAAGATTGAATTTGCATATGGGAGTGGAGGAAGGAAAGAGATAAAATAGACTGAGACGTGGTTCGGACGGCTGCGAGAGCTCAGMAGCTCCTCCTCTCTCTCTGAACATGGAGGCCCTGGAAGAGGTCGAGCTCTGCTTTCCCCACATCAACACCTCCTGCAGGAGGACGACCCTCCCTCACTCAGAGCTCATTTACAGTGGGCTCTCCTGCGTCACTCTGCTCACCGTGGTTCTCAACCTGCTCGTCATCATCTCCATCTCCCACTTCAGGCACAGATCAAATATTTCTCCACATCGCTTTGAAAATGTTGTTTGCTTGTTTTTCTGGCTCATGAAACACGAATGAGAACAGTTTGGATTGATCTGTTCTTTAACACTACAGGGACATAAATACTATAAACATCATTTTGTGCTTGATTGTGTCATGTTACAGAGTAATTCATGGTCCTATAACTGCTGAATACACGTACTGCTCCATCTACATATAAGACGTATGTGTTCAGTGTTGATATTCTCCCATTTCAGGCAGCTCCACACCACCACCAACCTCCTCCTCCTCTCTCTGGCGGTGGCAGACTTTGGTGTTGGCGTCCTGCAGATGCCGGTTCTCCTTCTGCACAACCAAGGCTGCTGGTACTTGGGCGACCGCATGTGTGTCGTGCATTACTTTTTAGGTTTCCTCGTCATCAGCGTGTCCGTAGRAAGCATGGTGCTCATATCGGTCGACCGCTACATAGCCATTTGCGACCCCATGTTTTACACCACCAGAGTTACCCTGAAGAGGGTGAAACTCTCCGTGTGTCTGTGCTGGATCTTTTCTGTCATTCACAGCAGCTGGATTCTGAGGGATTTCTTAAAAGAGCCAAACAGGTTTAACTCCTGTTATGGAAACTGTGTAATTGTCATCAGTTTTGCCGAAGGACTCGTGGATCTTGTCGTGACCTTGTTAGGCCCCATTCTAGTGATTGCAGTTTTGTACTTGAGAGTGTTTGTGGTGGTGGTGTCTCAGGCTCGAGCCATGCGCGGTCACGTCGCAGCTGTAGAACGTTCAGAGTCTGTGAAAGCTACGAAGTCTGAGCTGAAAGCCGCCAGGACTCTGGGTATTGTAATTGTTGTGTTTCTACTCTGCTCCTGTCCGTATTATTGTTTCGCTGTTGCGGCTGAGAGTAACCTCGTCGGGGCGTCATATGCAGCTCTTCAGATTTGGTTGTTGTATTTTAATTCCTGTTTAAACCCTGTGATCTATGTTTTCTTCTACCCTTGGTTCAGAAAAGCCATCAAACACATTGTTACACTGAAGATTCTGCAGACTGGGTCCAGAGAGGGCAAAGTGCTGTAGAATCACAGTGGGACGGAATGACTGAAGAGAAAATGTTCAACCTCTGTTCATTATACGGATGCACAAATGTTTTTGGTTCTGATGGAGACCTGGTTTTAGGGTAAATTCTCTGTATATCATTATCTACAGTGAATCTAAAATATTCTCACCAGTACATGCTTTTTATTTGAGGATTTTTTTTTTTCCTAAAGTTGAAGCCATTGTAATTGAGTAGGCCTATAGGCATTTGTTTTTTAATCCAATACAAGCATTGTGAAAGTAAATTGTTCTTCTTTGTAAATTAAAAATTGAATAAAACGATTCAGAACTTTCACAAAGTACTGGAACATAAAGTAGAATCAGTCACAGTCAATACAAATGGACAGAATCATTTATAAGCATAACTCAACACAGAGTTACAGGTAGAATCTTCACTCATTCATGGGAAAATATTAATTATTAAATATTATGGAGTGGAGTTCTGTCCAGGGTGCTTTTATTTTGTAACTCTAAATACACTTTCCACAAMCGAACATTTGAGGTGAGGGGTTTTCAGGTGGTTGAATTATACAACTTCGCCACTAGATGTCGCACTTGTATCACTTAAGTGAGATGAAAACCAGAATGGTGAAATTTAAAAGATTTGATGTAGTTGTTA